GCTCAAACAAAAGCTCTGTGTCAAGGTAAATGATAGGAAACCCTATAAAGAAGATGCACTTAGGGTACCTCTCCATTCCTTTGTATTTTGTGCATCTGAAATTTTACTTCATTTTTAACAAATCTAGAAAAACTTTTGATGATACCAATTTTTATGTAATTATGTGAAAATACATATTCCAAATATGTACCTACACCTATTTGTTGTAGGTATAAACTTCACATTCATTCTACTGCATGTTATATATGACTACAGGGATTTTTTTCACTCTGCTTTTTCTTCATGTTTTTATAGAGGGTCTGATTCTATTTTGTATTAGAAAATATGAGACTGATTCTTCAATGCCTTGCACCATCTGTAGTCATAGTTGTGCAAACTGAAGGCAGATCACAGACCTTGCTTTACAGTTTTAAAGGCTCATAGGATCAGATTTTTCAGAATTGCAGTAATTTTTAAATACTAGTATATTTTTATATATTTATATAAAGAAGACACCACAGCTACAGCAGATCTTTGTATGTTAGTAAGCATAGGAGTATTTAAATCCACTGACAAAGGTCCTATATCTCTCAAAACGTAACAAGAGATACAATTCACTATGTGAACACAATTAAACAAAATTGAAACCTCACACAGAAAATTGAAACAAATAAACATACACCTTTGATAACTGTTTTTCAAAAATCCCAACTCTTAAAAATGGTTTTGACAGATATAAATGATATATTAATATTGAATTAAATAATCTGCCCTGTTCTTATATCCTTGGTTTTCAGAATTCTTACCAAAGCAAGTGCAAGATTGCACAAGTGAGGATGCAGTCTGAATTATATGCCTGGAATTATTTTCACTGGAATCAGACAGATAGGTAGTTCTTCAGAAAAGCTTCAAAATATTTGGTATATTGCTGAAGAGATATCTCTTGTGGTAAGAGAGAAGAGGTGAATAATTTAGCGGAGAGATAGGCAAGGGACAGGAACAGTTCCTTCAGTGATTAGTAGTTGTGTCCTGTCTAGGACAGAAAAATAATTCACTGCTGTGGATTGCCAGCCTCAGGCTTGCCATGGTCCACACCACACTGTCTGATTTAAATAGATTGTTCTAAAATAATGTGACAGCATCATAAAACAGAGGAGAGATGACCAAGTTTCTAATATGTGTTATCCTTGTGGGCTGGAATTTTCAAGCCCATCTCTAGAAGACACAAGCCATGTCACAGGGAACATGCTAATGCAAAGAGTTGAGCCAGTACTTAAATATATATTTCTGACTCTGCTATGGACCTGCATAGAGACTATGTCCTTGCTTTTCCAACCTGTAAAATTATCATAAAACTATTAAATTGCCTCACTTGGAGATGTGCTCTAGGACTAGTTTAGTAAAATCTAGGCAGTAATATTATTACCTGCAATGCAGGTAGGCAAATCATACAAGCAATACAAATACACCATAAACATATACCATGGAACTGTCAGATGCCTAAAGTGTAAAAATCTGTTGTCATTTTAAATGACCTGAAGTATCCTCTATGGCTACAGTTTCATGTTCAAAGATCTGAGGCCCCATTTGGTACCAGACCATACAGAAGTCACATATGCTGTGGGGAATTTGAAAAGGCACCACATGCTTACGTTTAACTACCTCCATCCCATCTTATGCAGCCACAGCAACATTTCTTTAAAGATTTTAATGAGAAGTCCCTGTTCATATTTTTTTTTCTAATAAGTCAAGTATTTTTTAAATGGGAAATATTTATCTAAGTGCAATTGAACAATGAATTAAGACAAAGGCAAACTATTACCTTTTCAGTTCATGTCTGTAACTTTCATGGTGTTGGTGGGACCAATCTCTCTGCAGACAGTGTATGCAGAATAGACCCCCTTCCCAATAAGGAAGAGTGTCAAAAGTATGCATCAGCCAGTAAAGAGACTCCCTTTTGTGTCTTCCAGTACCTAATGGGGCTACAAGAAAACTGCTGAAGGACTTTTACAAGGGCATATAGTGATAGAACAGGGAGGAATGGCTTTGAACTGAAAGAGGAGAGGTTTAGATTAAATATTAGGAAGAAATTCTTCACTCTGAGTGGTAAGGCACTGCAACAGTATACCCAGAAAAGCTGTGGATGTCCTATCCCTGGAAGTTTTCAAGGCCAGGTTAGATGGGGCTTTGAGCAATTTGGTCTAGTGGGAGGTGTCCCTTCCCATGGCAAGAAAGTTGGAACAAGGTGATCTGTAAGGTCCCTTCCAACCCAAACCATTCTATGATAAATGTCAATCGCAAGATATGTTTTGATTATATGCTCCTCTACCTTTATAAGGAATTAATAGTCCAGAAAATGCAACCTGGTCAGAAAATAACCCCTGATAGAGATGCTGCTGTTGCAGTACCTATCACTGCAGGTATGAGAACTTCATTGTCAATATTTGGTTCTTTTGGTGTAGTTTAACAGAATTCTAATCCAGGAAAACAAAATAGTCCTGTCTGTCCTAAAGCACATGCACTGATGAAGTAACCTGGAGAGACAAACAAATATCCATAGAGTCAAAAGTGGTACAAGAGCGTGTCTGTGTACATATATTTAGGGAGGATAATAGATTTCATAATTTGATCATCTAGAAACTTAGTCAAGGAGATTACCCTTAGATTTTCATTTTGTTTGTAATGTAGTAATTATTCACAGATAGTGAAAGACTCCATATTAATATAACCTTGACTTGATGGCTTTTATAAAATATCATAAGAAAAAGAACAGTGAAAAAATCCCTACTATCTCCATCTCATTATTTTCTCACAAAGACAATTAAGAGGAAGCTTTTTGGAGTTAATTTTGCTTCTCTGCATTAAAGTGTATTTAAATATTCAGAAACAAAATACTGTATTTCTTCAGTCCTGTTTTCCCTGTGATATTTACCACCAATGGAACTTCTGTATATATAATCTAAGAGAAGTAAAATCACATATTTGTTTTATGAGTCAGAGCAGTAAGACAGTGGTAAAACTCCATCTGGTAAGCAAGCAGAAGTTCATTTTTGTGTTTCTGTTATCATTAAATGTTATTCAAGATTCTCATTACACTTGTCATCCTAGTGCAAGGTTAATTAGAATTAATAAATGCTGTACTGATCCAAAAGGAAGAAAGGGCAAAGAGAGAAAAACATACTAATTATTACTCATCCAAAATAAAGCAATTTGACATAGGACATGCTGTGCAGATGGACCCATCTTGAGGTGGAGATGGAAAAAATCTGTTAGAAAACTTAATATTTTCTTTTGGTTTTCTTTTTAAAAGGCATAAGCATGGCTCAATGGCCAATTTTAAGGAAAATATCATGCATAATAGCTTTAGTACAGGACACAGGAGCCTTTTATCCATTATTGACCTGTCAACTTTTAACTAGTAAATTCATTTTTATGCTCCTCAATTTACTTGTCTGTGAAACAAAAATTAGGACTTTTATCTACAATTTAAGACCTCCTAAAGTCTCTGGAAATTCCATGAGAACTAGATGCTATTTCTATTCCTGCCCAGCAAAGCATCACAAGAAAACTAGTAACAATAAAAAAAAAAGTTAAGAGCAAGCAGCACTACTTTGGGATAATTCCAACAAAATTTACTGCTTTGAGGGTGTTTTTTGTTGTCACACTTTGAGGATGTGTATGTTTTTTGGTTGGTTGGGGTTTTTTAGTGTTTGGTATCCAATTAGGAAGGAATATTAGTCGTATACCTTATGAGCACTTAGCATGTTCAAAATATTCTAGTCATTTTACTACAAGGTTGTCCAAGAACTTTTGAGTATCCAAGTAAATGATCAAGAAGTGTTTTACCTGTAGAAAAAAAGAAAGAACAGATATTAAAGGAGTTTTCTTCAAAACCGTAAAGTATATTACAAAACTAAAAGAATGGGTTTCCTCCGCTGCTCACCTTCTTACCCTTAAGGTAGTGCTTTACTTTCCACTTTTAGACTTTACTTTTTCTATATTCAACTTTTTTTGCCTCCAGAACACAAAGAACTTCATCTTTTGTTGTGCTGTCTCACTGGCACAGTTAAAAATTTCTACCTGCTCTGTGTAGGATCAAAATTTAAATAAATAGATTTTAAAAAAGTCAAATACAAAATGAACTCTCATACTTTTTCTAGATACATACACATGTATAATGATAAGAAGTATGGAAGCTTAATGTTTCCAAAGATAAAACTGCTTTTCCTAACTGGCCTTATAAAATTTTCCCTTTCCCTTCGTCACAATATCTCACACATGTTTTAGTCTTGAAAAGTAAACTGAAAAACCAAGGAGTGAGTGAATTAAACACTTCCTAATCCTGCTCTATTTCGGGAAAAGTAAAAGAGCAAAGAGCCATCATGCTATTTCTTAAATATCACTGAAGACCAGTAGAAACACTCTTCCTTGCTCTATCAACACATTGCACTATTGATCTCCTCATTTTTTGTTTTCAAAATTAACACCTGTAAGAGCCACTGACAACATAAATTTATTAATCCCCTCTGAATAACACATTACCATAGGTACCCAGCCATATTTGATATTACTTACCTGTGGGACAGCTCTGCATGCTCTGTTCTTTGCAAGTCCCTGATTTAGAGCTATGACACATCAATAATATTCATCTGCCATCAAACATCTTTTCTGTCTGTTTTTTTTTTCTTTTTTAGAAAAAAATGTACTTGATGCTATCTGCCTTGCCTCATAACAGTCAGTGAATGACAAAGATACATTTACACTTTAAGTAATGGTTTGAGACAGTCAGCAAGATGTGGAATTCTGACAGTTTGTGCCTCTGTGACCCTCTTAGGGGAACGTATTTCAACTTGCATAAGTAACTTGAAGTAGAATTTGTTTTATTTATTAGTGCTTGCGAGCTTGTATTTTAGGATAAACAACAGAAAGAAATAAGAAAAGACTTGTCATGGTGAGATGCAATTTATGTTTTAATTTGCAATGTTTGCAGTACTCTAAATCACATGCACAAAGACCTGGCATTTCATGAAGCAACATTTCCCCCCCCCCCCAAGCAATTGGAAATCCAAACATACAGGAAGATTTCAAAAACCATAGGAGCCTGTAACAGTCTCTAGTCTTAATCAGCTGCTCAGCCTCCTACAGAATGCACACCAGAGTGAGATGCCTCAGATTACAAGTCACATAGCATTTTACCTTTGCATAAAATACTACTTAGTAATAATTTCTGTCTATTAGTCATAGCAAAAGAGCATATCTTTGTATAAACCCTCTCCTTGGAGGCACCACACACTTCCCCTTTCTATCACATCAAACTTTAGGAACTTAGTCTTCTGAGTCAAGTCTATTTGCAGCCAGTCCTTTCCCACACACAGGATTATCTCACACTCACAGATGAGATCACATTAACTTGCCTCATCTCCACAATGCCAGCCTCCCATATCAACTGTTTAAATTTTCTCACATAAATATTAATGCTGACTTCTGTGTTAAACTAGCATGGACAGAATTTCCCTATAAGCATCTTCAAAAAAATTTCTTAACCCGTTTCTTTTTCTGGGACGTCTGCCATTAACTTTACAGCTTCATTTGCTGACCAGCAGTGCCACTTCTTGTTTCTTCTTTCCTCTAGCTATTATCTTCTGTTTTACAGCAGGACCATCCAGCCTTCAAGATGGAAATTGTCTTTTTGTTCAGTATTTTGTCCAGCAGGTAGGTAGCTATTAGAAATTATGAATAAGAAATTATTTCTTAAAGTCTGTTGAGCAAGACAAAGATGAGTAAGATATCAGATTGGAGAGAAACTTGTACAGAGCTGAAATGTGTATGAATCATGTCTGGAATCATAACGTCACTATTTCTGGTTTTTATTCTCTAACTTCAAAAAATGCAAGTTAGTTTCAAATTGTATTTAATCTTTTATATAGCAAAAAATCTCTTTTTCTTTGCAATAAAACACATTTTCAAGTTTTTGGAGTTTTATTCCTTTCCATATATTGAAATGAACTGTTATCTAAGCACTTGCTATTTGCCACATCATGCAGAGAAGCTACCAGATGCACGGAGTTTAATTAAATATCATGCAGCAGCCAAAAACTTGGGCTTTATTGGAATTTTGGTAACAAGCTATGAAGCAATTTACTTCAGGTAATTTGGACATACTTGGCTCCAGACTTCTGTCTAAAAGCCACATGGTTGATGTGAAATGAGCTAATCGGTGACTGGAGCCCACTGGCTCGAGTCCCTGTCGTACCAGCCCCTGTGTCTGCTGCCTCAGGATATAGAATAGACATGAGCAGGAACCAGGTACATTTTAAGCTCTTTCCAGTTGGGTAGAAAAGAGCCAATCAAATTGCTGGATCATGATGGATCCAGCTCAGACCAAGGTCTCCTTCCAAATTTGGAAGTCCTTATCTTCTGAGGTCAGAGATCAGAGGCTGCCTAATTTCAAAGAAGAGAGAGCAGTAACCATTTTTCCGAGTGTGCTGACCCTATTTCAAGGAACAGACATGGATGAAATATGTGTCAATAGCCTACACATTATTCTACATAAAATTGTACAGACCACAGTAACGGCAACTGAATTTTGCTGGGCTGCAAGAAGTCGCAACAGTCAAAGACACAGCAAAGATGAAAATTGTTCAAATAATCCCCATTAAACTCATTTTATTTGGGTCTCTGTCATCGAACTTCAATAACAAATGTCTTTTAATAATACATTTAAACATTCACCTTATTCTAGGATTTCAGTCTCTTCTTACTGGATTATTTTGACATCTCTCCTTCAGTGACAGGTAAACTTCGTCAGCTGCCTGAAGTCAGAGATATGAGAGAATATGGTGTCTGAAATCCTTATAAAGATACTGTGTAGTCAGTCAAGACCAGTTCAAATGAAAACTCCCAAATTGTGTCCCTAGCATGCTGCAAAACACATATAAATTGTATGGATTGGTGGGTCTTGTAAAGCTTCTGTGCTGCAGTACAATTGCTTTCTCTCCAAACCCCAGCATGTCAGATTCCAGAATTTTCCTTAAAACATCTTGCTTAACTTTAAAGATAATTAATGATCAATTTTAATACTAACTCTCTAGAAGATGCTTACAGGGCAATACACCACTCTTTCCCTCTTAGGGTGATCTGCTCTGTCACACAGGTGACTGCAGAAGAGCAGTACCACAGTGGTGCATATGTTTAATAGTTCTTTCATACAAAGATTTCCTCATTTGAAAGTTCTGATTTTAAAAGAGCATCTAAGTCAGCCAAATTAAACATACAAAGAATCTATCTGTTATCATTCCCTAAATGAAAAATATCAAGTTAACATCCATTTCAAACTTAAAGCTATGACCGGACTCACAGGGGAGTCTCCCAGGGACTCAGGTAAGTGACATTACTGGAAAACTCTAAAGTATAGTAAGGCCTTCTGATCGCTATCTGCTACTGATTGTTCAAGTTGGGAGTGATGAAGTAACAAAGAGAAGTCCATGGGCAATCAAAACAGACTTCAGGGCCCTGGGATGATTGGTTGAAGGATCAGGAGCACAGGTAGCGATTTCCTTGATCTTTCCAGTAACAAGGAATAATATTGACAGGAATAGGCAAATCCGTCAGGTCAACACATGGCTCTGAGGTTGGTTTAATCAGAAAAATTTGGGGTTTTTTTGACCATGGGATGATCTATTCAACACTTGATCTACTGACACCTGACAGCATGTACCTATCTCAGAGGGGAAAAAGAGTTCTAGCACAGGAGCTTGTGGGGCTCATTGATAGAGCTTAAAACTAGCTTGGAAGGGGGACAGGGACAAAACTAGGCTCACTGGCAATGAGTTATGGGATGGTGTGCCAAAACTTGAGGAAATAAGCACTCATAGGATCCCTCAATCTGCCTCAGCAGATGTTGGCTACAATGTACCACACCTGAAATGTTTCTACACCAATGCCCGAGCATGAGGAACAAACAAGAGGAGCTTGAAGCTTTGGTCCATTCCCAGAGATTCGACATCATTGGTATAAGTGAAACCCAGTGGGATGAATCCTATTCCTGGAGTGCCCTGTTGGATAGTTACAGGCTCTTCAGGAGAGATAGACAGGGCAGAAGAGGCGGAGGGATGGCACTGTATGCAACAGAAGATTGGAATGTATGGAGCTCACAGTTGGCACTGGCACAGCTGGGAGCATCTGGATGAGAATCAAGGGGCAAACAAATAATGTAGATCATCATGGAAGTCTAGTACAGACCTCCCAGCCAGGACGATGACACCAGTGAATTATTGTCTGAGGTACTAAGGGACACTTCCAAGTCAACTGCCCTTGTCCTTATGGGGGACTTCAACTTGTCAGAAATTAACTGGGAGCATCACACAGCTGGTACAACCCTGGCCAGACAATTCCTAAAAAACCTTGATGACAACTTTATGGAACAGGTCCTAAGGGAGCAGACTTAAAAAGACAGTCTCCTTGATCTGCTGTTTGTCAACAGAGCGGCTCTTGTGAGCAAAGCAGAGGTTATGGGCCCTCTTGGCCACAGCGACCACAAGGCAATCAAGTTTAAAATCTCTGTTGACAGGAGGAAAAGTGCCAGCAAAACCTCAGCTCTGGCCATGAGGAGAGCAGACTGCAGGCTGCTCAGGGAATTAGTGAGTAAAGTCCACTGGGAAAATGTTTTTGCAGGTGCTGGGATCCATCAGTGATGGTCACTTTTCAAACATCACCTCCTCAGGACACAGGAGCAGCAATTGCCACATGTGGAAAGTCAAGCAGGTGAGCCTGCTTGTCTGAACAAGAATCTTCTCTTGGAAATAAGGCAAAAAAGGAAGGAGGATGCCCAGTGGAAGCCAGGTCAGGTGACAGGGAAAGAATATAGAGATGCTGCTGCCACTGTAAGGAGAAAATTTGTGCAGCCAAAGCCCAATTGAATCGAAGTTGCCAGAAATGTGGGGATAATAAAAAGAGTTTTTTCAAATACATTAACTGAAAAAGGTAGTGTAGAAATAACAGGATGAGGATGGTCACCTCCCAAACAGGGACAGAGACAAGGCAGAGGTGTTTAATGCATTCTTTGCCTCTGTCTTCAACACTCATGATGGACCAGGGGGTCTCAATACCCTGCGCTGGAGGACCACGACTTTGAGAATTATCAACTTGCTGTCAACCCTGAAGTTATGTGGGATCTGCTGCTCCAGCTGGAATCCTACAAATCTGTGGGGCCTGATGGGATTCATCTCAGAATACTGAAGGACTTCGCTGATATCATCAGAAAGCTCTCTCAAAGATTTTTGAGCAGTGTTGGGAATCCGGAGAGATCCCAGCTTTAAGAAACAAGGAGCCTACAGCACATAAAGTAGAGGCATCAAGTTTAGGAAAAGAAGTGAAGAATTTGTTATCTATTTAAGATTGTAGATTGACTATAGAAGGACCAACTATACTTATTTAAACAGGAATTAAGACTGAACTCCAAGGGTAACACATATACTCATAGGAAAAAATTACAATGACATTTTTAATCATCATAAATATTCAGAACAACAGGTTTTTGTCTTCGCTGAAAGATGGACAATCACAGAGATGAAACCACAGCTTAGGGGTGTTATAATGGAAGAAGAGGGTGAAAGGAACAAAAACAAACCAAAGGAAGCATCTCAGTTAAAAACAATAAATTCAGTCCTAAAAATGTTACAGCATTCAAGGCGTTGCTAGCTTTCATGAGATTCACAAAGGGACACTTTAGCTTTAATTTACATTGGCCTGAGCCAATCCAACAAAAAACATCGGAAATCTAGGTAAAATTTAACTAACAACAATAGCTTGCTTAATATTAAAAATATGTTCACTCCTTCTCTTTTGTCGCTTCTCCACAAGCCCAAAGTTAAAGCTGAGAAAGAAAAAGAAGACTTCAGAACATGAAAATTTTTAATTGTGTATCTCTCCAAATATTCCTAAAATCTAAATCCAAAAGGCTCACAAAATGTTATTTTAAGCAAATTGAAGCAATTGGTCTCAGTTAGAGTAAGTTTCAGATGAGGATTAAACTGTATGTCTAGCACAGTGATCCTTTAAAAAAAAGAAAATCAGAGAATTAGGGATATGAGGATAGAAGAAGTTTTTTCCTGCTTTTTCACTACCTGGGAAGAGAAGGTGTCAAAGAGTCATTGACTCTCAGCTTTCTCCAAGAATCAGAGTGATTATGACAAACACCACAAGTTGTTCTGTCATATTCAATGACTGTTTCATAGAGAAGGGAAAAAGACACTTTATTTTCTGCATTATTCTTTTGCTTGGAAGTCATTAACACACTTACTTAAACTCACTGATCATCTTAGCTTATAAATTCTTTAGAAATAGTATGGGACTGTATAATTCAACAGAACATAGCAGAGTCAGATCCTCCTTTTTTTTCTAGAGAGTAACTTTGTTGAATTTTTTCTAAAAATATTTAGGAAAATGTTAAATCATTTTGTAGTACAGGGAGATTCGGGGGGGGGAAAAAAAAGCAAAAAACAAAGACAAAAACCCCAAAATGTCCAGTGCACTTTCTTAAAAATAAAAAAGAAAACATCTCTCCCATTCCTTACTCAAATTACAACATTTGAGACTAAGGGACTGTCCTCTGCTCCCAGACCTTGGTAATTCCCAAACCAGTTACCCAAATGACAGGTACATCACACTTGGCAAATGCAGCATCCACAGACTGGTAAATTGTCCAGAGTAAAGGACTGGAGTAGATCTGGAGATCTCAGTAAACCCTTCAAAACTGATGCAGGCAGGTGAAACACAAGTCAATAGGAGACTTTCACTTTTCAGAGACTGGTGTCAAATAGTGATTTGGGTCTGCCTGCAGGGGGGACGTTCCTCTGACTCACAGGTGGGATGTGTTGGATTTACATCATTTAGCCCCCATATTGCAATCTTTTTATAATTTCTTTTCCACAGTAGCTTATTCTCACAAAAGGATGATGCCAGGTTAGTTTGAGTAGCAGGTGCCAGTTTGCTAGGTTATAGGAAGATCCCTGAAGAGATAAAATTCCACATCAGTTCTCTCCTTTCTGTACATGATTACAAAGCAATGCTTCAGATGCTTTAATAAAGTAACCTCAAAAAAGCGCTGTTAGAAAAGGTACTTTCTCCTCTCTCTCCATTCAGCTCTGGGATTAGTATCATCATAGAATTTAAACAAGGAGTATTGAATTCCCAGGACATTCCTTTATACTCCCTGGAAGGTGCAAATCATGTCTCATTCACTCATGAAAACCCCAGTTTTGTGCTAAAGGGCTTTGGTATTGTCAGTTGTTACTGTGTTTTGTATCACAACCCTGCCAGATTTTTGGACAAAACAGAATCAAGGCCTGCTCTGGAAAAGACAACTTTTCTTTTAATCACCATCAGTTCTAGAGGTTTCCCATTGAAATTCACCAATTCACAAACATGCCTGGAATTTTATAAATTGCAAGTATGAAATGATAACTAAAACAATATCTAAATGAAAACAAAACTTTCAGATGTGACTTGTTTTCATTTTTGAAGATAATGTAGATTTGACAGATACCACAGAAATAAATGGTTACTGGCTTTTTTTCCATGAGCAACTCAACATTCATCTAGTTATGAAATAAAAGTAAAATAGAGTTGTTTTCTCTCAAAGGACATCATTACTAAATGTGTCATTTTAGAAGTAAGGCAGAAATCAATCAGCTTATCTTCTATGGAGCTAAGCATTCCAGAGAGTGTTGCTTGAAAATGGATCCACCTAAGAAAAAAAATTACTTTTTGGATTGAAATAAGTTTGTTTTTCTCATGCATGCCATTTATCTCATATACGATAATCAACAGGCAGTCTACTTGCATTTTAAACAATATTTACATATTTGAATACACTACAGTAAGACTTAGGATTATGCTGAAAGTTTCTAAATACTTTAGAAATATGTAGTACTTAAGGTTCTGTCACCACTAATTAGGAAATATATTAATTAAACTGATAACTGAACAAAGTGGTTAACATCAGAAGAAACCAAATAGAATATGAGAGGCAAAGAAAATTAGCAGTTTCAATGGAATTTCAAATCAGAAGAACATAAAAGAGGAAGAAAAAACTCCTCATTTTCCTCAGTAAACAAAAGAAGGGTTGAATGGAGGAGTGAAGTAAACAAGTACTATAATGAACTGAATTGTTATGAACTATAAGAAAATTCCCAAATTACTGAGTTTAAGGAAATAAACAGGTAAAATTCTTCCACAGAGTTCTCTTCCTTTAAATACTTCTGCATTAAGCATTCAAGAACCTTTTTGCCCTTCATGCAGAACATATTTCCAAGTTTCCTATGTGCTGGGCATAGATTTATATATTAGTACAGCCTTGTTTCTCCTGCAGTTTTCTGATATATCCCGAAGACATTTATACAGAAACACATCCTCTCTGTCTCTCAGCTTCCCAAGCATCTTCTCTTTTAAATAAAAGACACACTTTAGGCTAGTCACTCTTTCAAATTGCATATTCTCACTTTTTTACCTTCTGAACCAACGTGTGTGTAACACCTTTAAAAAAACAGTAAAACTCAAAAATCCTTGTGAGAATTATACAAAATGCACTCTTCAAGATGGAAACAATCAACAATGAGGCCAACTCCTGTCATGTCTCTTCAAGTCAGGCTCTGGGCACTGAAGTCAACCAGACTAAGCAGACTAAGCTCCTACCTGTGCACTCCCTGAGCAGCACCTACAACTGCAAAACAGTCCTGTAATATCACAGAATCACAGAATATTTTGAGTTGGAAAGGACCCACAGGGATCATCATAATAAAATATTTTAAAGTGAGCTCTTTTGCTTTACTGCATGAGTGCTCTTCCCCTGAATAAAGTTTTAGCTAGAATTAGTCTTTCTGAACTAACACAACAGGATCAAAATCAGGTCATGAGGAAATCTTTTACAGGATAGGCACCAGATCTCCAGCCTTACATAAATTGCTGTTTCTGTAAAGGGATTTTATATGTTATAACAGTAATGATGACAGTTTAAAAAATCACATTTCTCATCAACATTTTTGAAATATATAATCTGTGATTGTGTTCCATTTCAATTTCTAAACAAAGTCTTTAATCCAAACCCACTTAAGTTCCCATGCAGAACCGTTATTTCCAAGCCTCTGCTTTTGAAATGTGCTAAAGTCATGGCCTTTGTTTGAGTATTGTTCTACTCTTCCGCCCTAGAAAGTAATATTGAATTAGTAATGCTAGAATAGAAGTTTTTTTTCTAAAATTACTAAGGTTATATGAAACAAACTCATGACTCCTCTAATATTTTGAATCTTTCACTAATCATTTGAACCCCACTGGCTAAAGAGATTCAACTCATACCATCACATAAGGCATCAGTCAGCTTGGTACCATTTCATCAGGCTTCCTTTTGGTGCCAATCTCCATTATGCAAAGCAGCTCTTTAAACATTCAGCATTTGTTGCCCTGGTTTCTACAGTTCCATCATGTTCTGTAACCTGGAATAATGGAAAAGAATGGCATAAGAAATGCAAAATAGCAAAACCTCAGTCTTTTTAAAATCTTGTCCCCTTGTCTACTGACTATTCGATATGCTTAGAAATTATCACAGTGTCTTTCCCAAGCCTAAACTCTCAAAGCAAGAAGCAAAAAACACTATTGAGCTTTATTCCTGTGTTGTATCCTTCCAGGGCAAAAAAAAATGAAAGTAGTAGCTTTTACTCTGAGAGCGTCACACAAATGTAGGAGGTCATATATTTAAAAGAAACACAAGTAGATGATGCATGGAAAAGAAATTTAGTGATGACAGTACTACTTCTCCTTTAAGTCCCTAAGCCACCAGTTTTGAAGGATGCTTTGCAGATACTCTCCTTAATCTTGCTGGTCATCATCAGAAAGACCAGGTTTTGTTTGACCTTATTCAATTTAGCTGTAAACATTTATTGACATCAAGAAAATATTTTTTTAATGTCTTTAGGCTGCATATCCCACTAACCCAAAGGCTGCCTGAACAACTGCAAGGCATCTAAGCTGCTGAATATATTTCTACTTATAAATGAATTTATTTCAAGATGGTTAGGGTTTGTATTACATTAAAAATATAGCATGATGTCAAACTAAAATTTGCTTCTGTCAAAAAGCCACTGCTAGAAAAATAATCTTAATGTATTGGTAGCAGATATTTTATTTGGGCTACTACATAAGTATTCTGAATATTTATCTCCTTGCATTATATCCTCTTCATCTATACATTATACTGGATACTCTGGTTCTGTCTATGATACATAAAAATGTTTCACAGTATTTATGTAAAATGCAAACTACAATTATACTTGACAATTTTTATTATTTTTTTCCGCAGACAAAATTGTATCAGGCATAAGTGTTACTAGAATAATGATAAATTGATTTTTAACACTTAGACGACTATAAGTACCAAACAAACTAACCCCTCATTTGTCTAACACCACCTACACTGGGTAAGGAAGGGAACTCGTCCCCAGAGTTCAGTGTTTGCTTCACTTTCAGCACGTGAAACTTAGAAAAAGCAGACATGGGGATGGGAGGCAAAATGGTGATGAAAGAAAATTAACCAAGAAACATAACTCTCAATTTACAAAAAAAGTAATTTCTTTAACATTGGTATATTCCAAGTGTTCATTTTACCATAATACCACTACTTGCAGATTGTGGAACAGATTTTTAGTCTTGTATTAATGGAAATAATAGTCTTTAAACCAGGTTTTCTTCCATCTAACTGATACAGAGCACCACTTGCTGAAGTATTTTTAACACTTCCTTCTGTTCTCCCAATTTCTACTTCAATTTGTCCATTAATTTGCAATCTATAATAATTGACATGATATATTATAGCAAGGATACAGCTTTTGACCTTAAAATTATAGTAATTATTCCAGATAATGATTTATGGTTACAGTTTAGATAGACAGACAGAGAGAGTTTAATTTTGGAGCACTTCCTAATTCTTCATATTAAATCCAAGCTACACAATGAAAAAACATGCATATATACTGAAAATTATTTTATTTAGAGAAGGCAAGAGTTTTAATGGAGATCATTCTGACTATAATCAATGTATACAGAAATAACACAGATGGATTAACAAGACAATTATTCACTAGGAGAAAAATTGCATTCCAATCTTTTGTTTACCTTTATCATCTCTACAGATTCTTCTGAAATCATTTAAACATCCAGATATATTACATATGCCCAATTAGCAAATATCTAGCATGAAATATACATATTAAGAAGTAAGAGATAATGAAAGTAGATATGAAGAGATAAGTCAAATCACTCATCTGATTGCAAAATTTCTTTTTCTGAAAGACTGCCACAAGGATAACTTTTTTGTGTTGTCATTTCCTGAATTAAAATAACAATTTTGATTTATTTAAATGTGTAATGCCATTAAGAAAATTGTTTTTTAAGCATCCCAATTCTTCGGATTGAAATAATTATCATTTTTATTGTGATGCAAAGTAACTCTGTAATTAGACCTGACACCAGAAAGCTGAGCATAGAGCAATGTCTTAATTTATTTGAAATATGGACAGATAAATATGGACTGATACAGGTCCTTCTTTTCTATTTATGGAATTCTTCTGTGAAAATACTGGTGTCACTCCTTTTTTACAGGGACTTACTGTAAATTCAGTCTTCTGGCAATTATGTGACACGTGTTAACTGAGGAACAGAGCTGCATGGTCTACATAGTCTTAGTGACTGGGTACCATTTCCTTCAGGAAGAGAGGTTTCTCATTATACATATGGAAGATGTAAAAGGGCACCCTTTGTGTGTCCTGTGCTGTCCTTACAGGAGCAGCTCAGTGTTTTGGGAATGGCAGGGAAAACGAGTCTATTTCTGATGCTGAAGATGGATCTGAGTAATGGATAGCTGAGTAAGTAAAGGTAAAATAGCAAAGTCTTCCCTTCTCAGAAATGTGGTGAAATCTCCTAATGTTAGCAAGAGGGCAGGGCAAATAAACACTGACATTACAGAAAGCAAACACAAAAAGCAGCACTGATAGAATTCAGACATCTTTTCACACTTCCATATCCGACCTTTCTGAAAGAACCATTACCTATATCTTATTGAAAAGTTTTACTCTACCTCATTTATTACTATTCAGCAAACAAAAGTAGCCTACACCAAGCCTAAGGATAAGCTTCCTGTAGAAATAATTCTTTCTCCTGATATAGTGAGAACTATGAAATATGCTTAAGGTCTCCACAGCTTATTAATTTTGCTGAGAAGAATTTTTAAAAGATGAGGAAATACTGGAGGAAATTATCTTGAAAGCATTAGTGAGATCAAAATTGGGGTTTATTGTTTATCATTTGGAATATATATTGAACGTTTTGAAATTAGCAGTGAAGTCCAGTGCAAAAGCACACCTACTCTCAGTATCACACTGATCAGTGACTCCAACCTCCTTTCCTTTGACTAGGATAGAACTTTCAGGAAGACCAGTAAGCAAGTCTGCTGTTGTGTATCAGCAAATCAATACTGATTTTACAGCAGTTAAGGAATTTCCACCCCGTTTCTCTCCAAGATGTCATTTTCACTCTATACAAACTAACATACACAATCACCAGTGCACACCCTCACATCCTCCAGAGGATGTTGTTAATGTAGCATGGGGGAAAGACAACCAGAGATGACTAACTTCATCTAATACCATCTAATACATGAAGTAATCTTCATTCTTTCAACTACTCCAAGGCAGGAAAGAAGCACGTTTGTGTTACTCCCAGACTCAGGAGTGCCATCAGTGAGGGACTGTCAGCTCAGTACCTGCACAACTCAAATATTTTCCCCTCAGAAGTATTTCTCTAATGGTACCCATTAAAAAAAAATCAAAAAAATCACACAGATAAGCAGGTCTGCAGTGTTGTTTGATTCAAACTAGGATTCAGTTCTCACTGAATGAAATTGCCAGCTAATTATCCACCATCAAATATTTATCTAATGGACCTTACAGAGGAAGAAGGATCTGGAAAAGAAGAACTATTTTCATGTCTAAGATCCAAAAAACAGATGACTGAAACACTTAAAATATAGTATTAAATAGAAAAAAGGAATTAAAACTCTGACATAGCATCTTCAGATTAAAGAGCAGAATGCGTACCCAGGATTGTTACTCAGGACTGGGGGAGGAATGATGGCAAAGAGGAAGAGGTGACAAGTTACCGCATTAAAGTAGCTTGGATTGCCACAAGAAGCACTTGGTGAAGATCTTTAGAGCAGCAATAGAAGAAACAACTGCACTTTTCTCCTTCTTTGCCCTCCAGGTGCCAAGAGCCCTTTGGAGATCTCAGCAGGCTTTTGTCTCTCAAGCATTCCTGAGAAGAAAAGGTTGGGAGGTGAGGACTTCCAGATCCAGAAAATCCATGACACTGAAATGAACAGAATATTTGTCAATAGTCCTATTTAAGGTAAAAAAATCAGGCACTTCTTTTGTTTGCCCCTGGAGATTAAGTTGACACTGTTATCAAGGAGAGGTTGTCTAGTGGGCCCAGTTAAAAGACAAAAATTAAAGGTAAGACGGGGCAGCAGGTGTCTGCAGTGGACAGGCACATCAGTGGGGTTCAGCAGGATGTTATGCTAACCCTGGACTCTTCAGCCCATTCAGAGATCATAAAGAAAAGAGATCAGTAACATCACAAAGTTTGTTGATGATAAGTAGCCTTGATACTACATCGAACCAAAACTGCTTGCAGGAGTTACAGAAGACCGCCAGGATGTTGAATTCCTGAGGAATAAGTCCATGCTTTCAGTAAACACTGAAACATGAAGGTGTCACTATTCTGTGAGAAGAATATCACTGTGTGCTTAATGTACAAATACTTTTCCCCCAGGAACTCACTAGTGGTTGTTGTCAGCTCCAAAATGGAGGGTCTTTGGGTTGACTCTGTACATGCACTTCTATGTTCAGTTGCAGTCACAATAATCTACCAGAAATCTTCTCCCTTCAGGACAGCTGTATGATGAGACATTTTTTGCACTCTGTCCAGAATCTTCTCCTCCTTAAAATATTATTTCTATGGGAAAATAGTTCTTTGCTGAATACAAACACCCTTTCTGATCCAAAGCTTTTCACACAAGCGGCGCTACCTCACAGCTATAGAAAGCTTTTTTCTCCCCTCCTGTCTCAGCAATGAACTATCTTTAGTAGCTTTGACACTGATACATGGAAGTCTGACCTTACTTGACAAAGATATTAAGTTTAATTCAGTGAAAGCTTAATTAAGAGGGCAGTTAGATCAGTAAGATCATAGGAGTCTGACTTTTTTTTAATTTTAAGATGGCAAGATGGCAGTAAAAAGAATGAGAAATTCCTTTGTGTATAGGCTAACTTAGACAATTTCACATAAAGAATCAGTAAAGGCATTGAACAGGGCACTAAATGTATTTAATTTCAGTCCTCTATTAGCAAGAACCATTCTGTTGATTACAATAAACCCCTAACATACACACACTCAATGTGAGATAATGCAAACCACCACTGATTATTTTTAAGGTGACTGCAACTTTCAATTATGGACTTAAGCAGTGCCCATTTACGCACATGTACGAGAATCACTACTCACTTGCATAAGTAGTCAAAGAAAAAGTTACCATTTTTTCAAATGAAATGCCTATATAAAAGCAAATTTTGAGGGTTTTATTCCCCCATCCCCACTCTGGAAAAAATGTCAGCAGAGATCTTGCAGTTCCTGTTTTATGAAATATCTTCAAGGCTTTTAGAGTGGTATTTTAAGTTATTTTACCTAACACAAAGCACAAAATCAAGAATTTAGTTTCATAGCAAACAAGGGTACATAGGAACTTTCTAATTCATGATCTCTCATGTGACTCACTGTTTTCAATCCATCCAAATCAGTGATCATTGGAGTAATACTTCTATTGTGAGACTTTTCTATAGTCTAACACAACTCAGTCCCAGGAAGGTTTTATTTGCTATTTAATCTACCTTTTCCCTTAAGTCTCATTTTATTACTTAGGTCAATTCAAGCAATGCCTCATAATTCTTTCCCCTGCAGAAAACTAGTTGGTTTTGTTTCCCTGCATGGCACCTCTCTTACCTTTCTGGAGATTCTGTGGAAGACCTCCACTTGACAGGCATTGCCACAATCCAACTGATTTTAGCAGAGGTCTAACAGTTTGTATCAGTGGAATATCTGACAGAACATATATCATCTGTTTATTTATCCTAAGTTTCCCCAAGTACTTAGTCCTGACCTATCTACTTTGAAGTCTATATTTTAACTATTTTTTTTTAAAGGATGGAAGTGAATAAAATTAAAATTTTCTTTGCAGCCCACTGTAATACAGCACCAACTGTACTTAACATTAACAAACTGTTTTAACCCTTGTGCTGAATCATTAATCTTCAACTGGATCCAAGAAGCATCCTCATTACATGAATAACATAATTTTATACCCAAATTAAAACTGAGGATAACTGAAAGCAGAGTAAAGGAGAGATAGGAACAGCGGCATTCAAAAACCATCATAAATGCCTTTACAAATAATAAATAAATTCAGAGAGTGTTAGGGACTAAAGACTAAGCTTTAAACGAACTTTTCCTGCCTCTGTAATCTATCCGCCCTTTCCCTACCCTTGCAAAGCCTGAATAGCGAAGTGAGAACAAATTAAGCATATTCTCACTTAATTAAGCAAAGAGCATTTCAAGCTAATTCATTTTATAAGAGTATGGCCTTTATGGAAGCCAAGTAAAATATAGTTTTAATGATGTCCATTGTGTCTACTTTCCACTGAAAAGAAAAAATATTAAGTAGATGAACTCACTTATGGTGATCAATATGGTGTCTGAATAGGAGAATTTTAGAAAGCATCATCGTGATGCCATTGATTTTTGACAGCACCTTAACTGATTCTTTGGGGTGCTTGGACCATTCCATATTTTGTATTCTGTAATGAGAGTTACAATAAATAAAGACACACTGCAGTTCCAAATTTGTGTCCTTTTTGGAGCTGTGACTTCAGTAGTCCACAATAAAAGCTAGAAGAAACACCCATGCTGGTGAAAAAACCAATTGGGTTCCACTGCTAAGCTGAAATGGTAAGATCGGATCAAACAAGGCAGAACAAGTTCCGAGTGTGTTGTAAGAGATGAAGCATACAGGCATTGTGCTGGAACATGAGCTGATGTTGACTACAAGGAATTCTACTTTAAAACACATGAATCAGAAATAGTTTCAAAATAAGAAAGCGCAAGAAATCCTTTCAATTTAGCCAATTCCCTTTACCATCTATTAAATTAATTAGTCATATTCTTTCAATATAAAAACTGTATTGAAAGACTTTATATTTTAAAGATGAAATTCTCAAGTGGAACAGCATATTAATACTCCAAAGAGACATCAGGGTTTGTTTTATGAGGCCATTAAAGAATGTCTTGGGCAGCTGAACACAGTTGGCAGGACCTACAGAGTAGGTATTAGCAGCTCATAAACCACACCCCGGCCTGCCTGATGGCTTTGGGAATTTGAGATAAAAAAGTTATCACCAGATGAGATCATGCAAAGTTCTGCCTCACTCCTTTACCGACACACACATTAATTCTGAGAGCACGTGTGAAAACGGAAGAAGAAAACACTAGGAAAACAGTGGGTGTTTTTTGTTCTGGGGTTTTGCTTTGGTTCTTTGTTTGTTTGGAGTTTTTTAACTGAACAAATGGATTAAAAAAAACCCAAAATACTCTTACACATCAAATTACACATGCCACCTTCACCGACAGCAACGCCATACAGAGGGCCGGTCGCCTGCATTAACGATTCCTGGCAGTGTGATAGACTGAAAACAAGGGCAGGAGGAATAAGAAGAGTTGTTGCTCTTTATCTAATTTTTTAAAAAAAAATTATACAAGATGACCTGAGGGCATTTTGCTTCTCTTTCAGCTTGTGTCCCTGCCTTTATGGCAGCCCCCCTTGCCCCCACAAGAGACCATCTCTTTGTTCAGTCCGGGGGACTGCTATGAGCTGGTGCAGGGGGGGGGTTCTTTTCACTACCCCTAACCAAAACATGTTCTTGTCAGAACTGCTAAACCTTAGGCAATGAAATGTCCACGGGAAAGTTGCTCGGGGCATCACTTTCATTCAGACTAAATCTACCTTCCAAGCAAGGCAGCCAAAAGAGAAACCAAGCATTGACATTCTGCTCCAGATGATTGTCAAAATAGCTCCCCTTCCTCACACAATCCATTTTAGTGGTGGGTTTCCCTTTGTAGCATAGCATGCTGCAGAAATGATTGTTGGACACTTAAAAACAAACAAAAAAAAATACCCCAAAATTGCTAGTCAGCTCCTTTCTGTTTAGGAAAATAATAGAAAACACATTCCTTTTTTTCCACATTTTATGGCTGCCATTTTTCAGGCTTCTAGAAGTATATTCTCTGCTTGGGCCCTGATTGTATAAAAGTGATTCAAAAATAAATCTGTATTTCTGGTATCTTTATAACCGATGTGCTAACATGCTTTATACCAGATGTCACTCTCAGGTATTCCTTTTTTTTTTTTTTTTTTTTTTTCCCTCAGTATTATATGCTTTAATATAAAAACATAACATCATAAACCTGTGATCCAGTCTTGTCTCTGTAATGCAATTGGAGAGTGTGTAATCATCTCTAGCTGCAGATGGAAAAGTCTATTTTTGTTGTTGTTGTCAAGGTTATATGATTGTCTGGTAGCACCAAAGAGTCCAAATTAATAGAAAGGCTAAGGAATGATTTAATCTGAGAGCAGATGCCTCCTATAATGCAAGTTGCCTATAACAATTTCTCAAGACAGCATTCTGAGTAGGAAGGTAATGTTTGATGATCAGTACTCTCACATTCAAAGGCCAGGATCTGGAAACCTAATGCAGATGTATTTGTCCATTAATTGATGTCACTGCAACAATAAAAGCTTTCACAACACCTTAGCACTAATTTAAAGAGCTGCTTCTTCAAACTTAGTGCTAGCTGAAAATTTTCCTCTAAATCTACCTTGGAAAATTAAAGTTAGACAACAGAAGAAAGTTTCTGAAGTTTTAGACACTTACTCTTGGTTTGAAAAAATACTGTCTTGCTCATGTTATTTCTGTTGGTTTGAGTTTTGGTGTATTCTTATCAAAGGAGTTAAAAGGTTACCAAAAACAACTTGTCCCATTTCTGCCTTCTGCATTCTCACTAGATAAATCATGGGGTCAAAAGTACAAGCTCTGACTGTCCAACAATGGTGGTTCTGCTCTTACAGGTTTTGGAAGCACTCGGCTTTGTTGAAGGGAGAACATTTCTTTCTCATTTTATGTTTGGCTCTG